GTGCGGGGAGAGCCAGGCCCCCACACTGTGCTTCTGCATGTCGGGGCGCCCCGTCACGTAGATGATCATGTAGCCCGAGTCCTGCCAGTGCCTAGGAGGAGAGACATGTCGGTGCCAGGAGCCCGTGACGGGGACAGTCCTGCTGGCGGGAAGCCACCAAGCATCTCCCAACACATCACACACGGGTGCTGCCTCCAAAACCTCCCTTCCCACAGGGATTTTAGCAAGGCTGAATGCACAGCAGAGCTGCGGGGTATGGCAGCAGGCTTCGGGACCAAAACCGGGAGTGGATTGCTTTCCTATGAGAAGGCACCAGCGCAGAGATGCTGTGAAAACTCTCTGGGCGAGGGGGTGGCAGGAGATTCCCTCAGCTCGTCCCTGGGAAGGCAGCCTGCTCCGACGCCCCCACTACCCCGATTGGGTTGCCATCGCACCGTGAGAGGAGGGGGAGACTGTCCCTCCCACGAGGAGGGCACCTACCGTACAACGTCGACGGCCCCCGCCCGCACTTTGGGGTCGCTGCCCATGATGGAGACGCTGGCAGTGAAGGAGCCGTCGATGCTGAACACGACCGACTCGGTGCCCCGGGCCACCACCGTCAGGTACGCCTCGGCATAGCTATGGTCCCCCCTGGGACGGGAGGACAGGGAGGCTCAGCGTCGGCTCCGCCGCCGAGGGGGCAGGCGTAGCTCTGCCGAAAGGGCTGGAGGAGGAACCGAGATGGCACCGCACGCCCGCATCTCACCTGACCACCATGCGCACGGGGTAGATACCGATGGCCAGAGCCTTGTCCGGAGGGATGGTGAAGGTCAGGCGCCCGCTGCCGCTCGTCACCTCGGTGCCGTAGTACAGCCACTTCCCTGACAGCGGCTGCGTCATGATGTAGATGTCCACCTGGGAGAGGGCAAAGGGCTGAGCACGGACCGAACCTCCAGGTCCTGCTGCGTCCCCAACCTACAAGTCCTTATGACCCTCTCCCCCCATCCCACAAGGTCCTACGGGGTCCTGTTCACCACATCCCTTCCCCTGCCGTGGGTGACACCAGCCCCGTCCCCCCCTCCTGGACATCCCCTCCCTGTTTGACGGGGTCCTGGTGGCACCGGCGAGCCCAGCGGTACCTTCTCCCCAGTCAGTGTCACCACGTCCAGGGGTCCGTACATGAAGCGCCCGCTGAGGACCTGCGCTTTGCCCTCGCACACGATGACGTCGCTGGCCCGGTGGTTGGCCGTCACGTTCTGCAGGGACAG